CATCGGCAAAGACTGTTTCTGTTCCCCCTTGCTATAGGAATAATAAATACTGCATGAATGAAGACCACTGATCTCCTTCTTGTTGAATAAGGATAAGACTAACCAAAAGCGATACTACATTGGTTGTTATCGCCATTTGTGTTAAATTAGAATAAATACAATCCACATTTAGTCATCTTTTTATTCAAACCTCTCACTGAATATCCTGTTTGATAAAAAGTGATGAACAGATAGATTTTGAAACATCTAGCCGGTGCAGCTTGAACACATCATCAGTGAAGGACCCAGGGTCATAGGGTGTTTCGGGTCTTTGATCTTCAGACACCCTCGTCTGGGCGATCCAACGGGGGTTGATCAGGCCCCAGTTTGTGTTCAAGCAGCGTGCTACTCCATGCGTCCCCCCTCTTGATCCACAGCCACATTGAGGCTCTTTCAGGGGCCTCATGATGTTCCTGTTGGCTCTTCTCTCAAGCAACCTTCTGATGCCAAGGAGACTAAATGCCCGATGCAAAGGCTGACCAAGGAAGCTTCTGCTGCCCACTTCTGTTGGCTCTCAGTGGGCCCTCCATCCATGGCATCTGCATGCCTCAATCTGCTCAAGATATTTCACCCTCTTCCTTTCGTGAGCCTCCTCCATCCTGTCTTCCAAGGGGACTTTAAGCTCCAGTAACACAACTTGCTTTGTCGAGTCAGATGTTAAGACCAGATCTGACCTAAGTGACGTCCTTGCAATGTGCTCTGGGAACTTTAACTGCCTTCCGAGGTCCACATGCAACTGCTAATCCCGAGCCATGGCTAGCAGTCCAGTTGCGCCCTTACCTGCTCTTTCAGGTTTCTCCCCTGCCCTGATAAAGAAGATTTTGAGCCTCAAAGGAGACTGGTCCTTTTACTCCTGAATTCCAGTGCAGATGGTGTCTGCTACTGCCTTCAACACCTGGTTATGGCACCACGTGTACCTTCCCTCTCCCAGCGCTTTAGGGCAGCAGCTCAGGATGTGCTCCAGGGAACCATGAGCTGGGCACAGTGGGCATGTTGGTGCTTCTGCACGGCCCCAGGTATAAAGTTTAGATTAACTTGGAAGGACATCATACACTGACTGGATCAGGAACTTAAGTCTTGCTGGTTCATACTTCCATAGTTCTGCCCAGGGGATCTATGATTATATAAATGTGATGTTTCGACTACAACTAAATTACCAAATGAAATATGATCTAAATGTAAGAGCAGTTTTAATATGAATATTTGTCTATTTTTCCTACAAGAAAATAATTTGCTTACATTTGGATCCTAACTTAGAGCAGTTAGATGCTAAATATCAGACAGTACAGCTGAAAACATTTATCTTACCATAGAGGAACAGCATTATAGGCAATAAAAGGAGCATCAGACATTCAGTTTAAGTGGAGAAAGGACCAGCATGTGCAGAAGATGTGTTGTAGATGCATTAATAACACATGCATCACAAGACATAAGGGTCACTTGTGGGTCTAATTCCTGCCTACTCTTGTCAATCAAATCATTTCCATAGTCATGGTCAGCATGTAGAATAAATCAAATACAAATCATATCCATGGGATTGTTTTTTTACTTGATAATCTGTCATGAGATGTATTAAAGGGTGTAATCATATGTTTATACATATTTCTTTATATATGTACATGTTGTGACACTACATTAAAACATTATAGGCATTTTTTGTGATAAACCAACACAAAGTGCAAAAGCAATAGTGCAAAATATGTAGCTCAGAGTTTTGTTTGCACACCCAAGTCAATATTTTGTATCCCCATTTTGAATAAACACAGCCAAAGGTATTTGGGGGTTTATCTTTACATCTTTGCACATCTAGACAACAGACATAATTGTTTCTTTTTACAAAACAATCAAGCTCCGAATTGGGGGAAAGCATCTGTAAACATCTGTTCTGAAGTCTTATTAGTTTCTGAATTGATTTAGGTCTAAACTCTGACAAGGCTGCTCCAACACATGAATTAGCTTGGATCTAAGTTATTTGTTGTTATCTCTGGCAGTATGTGTGCTAGAAGGTGAACCTTTAACTGAGTCTAATGTTTATTGCAACCTACAGCAAGTTTCCATCCAGGGTTGTCCTAAACTTGGCTCCAGTCATCTTTTTATCAAATGACAAAATTTTTGATGCTGTTAAAGAAAAGCCTTTCCACTTATAGATGATGACATGATTCCATGCATATATATATAAGAAGGTTTCCTGTGTATTTTCTGCAGCTGGATGATTGTATATCAAATTCAAACTGAGGTTTATTAAATCGCCTCAAGAATTAGTCATGATATATATTCATCTTGTATTTACAAATTTTGTTTGTTTATATGTAAATGCAGATCAAAGGTTATCGATAAGATCAGTGCTGAGTTATTGATGGATAACTATTGAACTCAAGTTCAATTTAGCATCTTTAATGTTCAGGGAAGTGTGTAGTAGCAGGTGTGAGTCAGCAGTCTGTGATGAACACTTCAAGGTGTCTGCTGACCTCTGCTGGCTGAAGAAAGAGCTAAAAGATTTTATTTTTAGATTCTCTAATGTTTGTAAAGAAAGAAAAATGATTTTACAATATAATAAAAATAAAAGAAAATGTATCAAGATAATTAAATATTATAGGTTGCGGATATCTATGTTAGATGTTAGATGAAACTGAAAAGCATTGGAAGGAAGGGTTGATTTTTTATTTCGAAGAAATAAAAAACATAATTTGTTTAGTATATTTGCTCAACACGAACACATTTTTAATAAATTGCGCTGAGGGATTTGATTTATCCTTGGAGGAGGAAAGTATTGCTGAAGAATGGAAAAGGTAATCTTGAAATCCAGCTATATTTTATAAAGTAAACAATTAATTTAAAATAAGAATAGAAAAAGTTTGACCTGTGTAAATCAGAATACGGTAACAATTAATGTCTTGTTTTTTTTTTTTAAATATATATATATATATATATATATATATATATATATAATTTCTCCACACAATAAGTCCTTCACTCTTGCTTTGTTTTCCTTTGGATTTGGATGCCTTGAAATTATTTTAAGTAGTAGGCTCAATCCAAAGCTCCATAATTTGTGTGTTTATGGTTGGATCCTTTTCTAAATACATCTCATCTACAGAATGATTATGACCGATATTAATAAATGCATCTTTACGCGCATACGTCCCACACCCTGACTCTCAGCTAAACAGAGGCAAGGCAAGGCAAGGCAGGGCTGAGAGATGTTTGATGCGCTCCTGTTACAACCAGCGGGACCCTGAAACCAACTGGATAGGCGCAGGAGCGGACAAAGCCATTCATCCCGGAGGTAACGCTCTTTTCTGTCTTTTTGGGGGTTAAATCGGGAACC